TGGTACGTCATCCGCCACTTCTTTCCCGTTTCCTAAAAAATGTTAAATAATAGTGTGAGCAAAATTGCTCAGTAGGTGGTGCCTAAAATACACCTCTTGTGGCCCTGTGAATTCACACCATGAATAGGAATAAAGAAATTGGGATCATACCATATTGAGAAAAAAAAATATAACCACCATGCCACATCATTAATTCGATACCACAAATGAATATGCCATGCAATGATATGCCATGCGATGCAATGCCACTCTCCATTTTCCAAAACCATTTCCATTATCATTTTCAAACTGTTAGTGAACCCGTCCCATGGCAACTCCATGGCGGCACGAAAGGAGGATCGGTCACTGTCCCTGACCCATGACAACTCCATGTCGTCATTTGGAGCCCAGGAGACTCAACCACACTAGGACGATTTTTCTAGTCCCCTCTAGGCCTCACTAACGCCACGGTCCCTAGGCAACTCCTAGGCGGCCGAATTTTTCACAAAATCTTTCTCTCAAAATATTTTTCCCAAAAACCCATTCTTATCCACTTCAAATCACTTTACCCTTTCTTATGCCCCATGACATGCATGTATGTCTCATACCTACATTACTATGGAATAAAAGGAAATTTTCATATAACACAACTAGTCATCCTTTGCTAAAATTTCAAAGAAAATCATACAAGAATTCATACATCATTTCTAGCACAATTTACAACTTTATAGACATAGTAGAGCAACATTTAAACATGATTTTCATACAAATCAACATGTAAATATAAAATCATGAACTTTACAAAACAACAATCATGCTAGGGTAATTACCATCAATTAGACAAATTAATAATAATTACTAGAAATTAACTTTACACATAAAAAAATCATGCTAGGGTAATTATCATCAATTAGACAGATTAATAACAATTGCTAGAAATTAACCCACAAAGGAACAAGAAAATGTGAGTTAGAGACCCCTACCTCAATTATTTGCAAAACCCCTAATTTCTTCACCTCAAACCCTAGAATTTTGAATCTCTTATAGTGCACCAATCTATCAACGTGTTGATCTCGTCGTGGGCTTCGAATAGCCGCAAACTGCTCTTAAAAAGACTAAGAGATGAGGGAGAAATCAAGCCTTGAATACAAAAAAAAAAAAAAAAAATTAGAGGATGCCGAGAGGTATACAGAGAGATAGAGACGGGAGAGAAGGAATGAGATTACAGTGAGCAACAAAGAAAAAAACGTGGTCTTATGACCACTTTAAAAAAGACTGTGGATCCCTCCACCATCCTTTAATATACATATATATATATATATATACATATATATATATATATATATATATATATAAACTTAAACATTACATTACTAACATCAAATGTTGCTTTTCCACTTGGGAAGCCTCATACTCGCAATAATTGCTGAAGACTTCCCCTTTTAGTAGTATTCCCTCACGGTCTCTTTAACTAACTTCCATTTAATTTGGTTATAGTGATCTGCTGTTAAGGTTCACATGTTTATTCTTGTACCTGACTCACTGTTCTAGTCATAAAAAGTTGATGTCACAAGTTTAATTACTATTAATTAGGTCCAGGGGAGGAGAGACAAGCCTTCCATGTAGTGCTTGGTTAGATACTCAGGTCCTATAATCCATTTTATTTACTGAAAATTACATACAATCCATTATAAATTTCTATGAGCAGTATGACACATGGTGTATTTTTTGCTCGAAGAGTTGTTTATTGTTGTGCTTGCTAATGACACTACAGATGAGTTGGTCTCTTGGCATCTTAATATCCCATTTCCTTTATAGTATTTTTTGGTAGCTAGGTCATTTCTTTAATAGTTTTAAATAGCCAATTGTTCACCATTCTCTTCAATTCAATTTATTAGCTTGATTATCAGGACAATGATGAAACCAAGTTTTGGCTTCATTGACAAAATTAACGATGTCCTATTGAAATTAGCTAGGTCATTTCTTTAATAGTTAAACTTTTTTTGTGCTTGATAAATAGAGCCAGCAGAGAACACCTAAGAGGAGTTAGAATCTTTTTGGATGTTGCATTTGACAATGTAGGCATAGTCAAGATGATATTATGCCCATGTGTTTAGTTTTGCAATTGCTTGTGGAAGTGTCCTTAAGATGCATTAGATGATATTTTTGTTGACGGGTTTCTTAAAATTTACATGCATTGGGTGCATCATGGGGAGAGAATCTTATGGTGTTACTAATCAAACGGTGGAGAATGAGGACATAGACGAACAAGATGGCGTGCATGAGATGTTGCATGACGCATATGGAGTAAGAAGCCCTGAAGATGATATGGATGATTCGATGCATGAAACTAGAGAAAGGTCTAATATTGATGCATGAGATGTTGCATGACGCATTTAAAGTTTCCTTAAATTATATGGTGGGCATGAACTAAAACAATATACTTTTTATGTTTCCTTGAACAAATATATTTCCTCTATTTCTAATTAAAATAGGATTAGTATTTTAGCTAATGGCTTAATTATGGTGATTATTTGGATCTATAAAATTATTATAATACTAAGTTTTACCTGGTATGTATTTTTAACAGAGTGGAGTGAATGAAACAGTGTCATCATTGTGGGGGATGGTGAAGAGCATTCTAGGCAAAGTGACCTTTTCATTCCCTTGTAACTTGTTATCCTTGTAACTTAAAATGGACTAAATATCATCACTCACTTGTTATCCTTGTAACTTAAAATGAATTTTTTTGTTCGGATATTAAAACATTCTACTGACTTCAAAAGTACTTTGAATAAGGTTATTTTTAACTCAAAAGTCTCAATTTCATGATTTAGCGAAATTAAAGATTTTGTGCAATTTAAATCCGAAAAACAATATCCTAAATTGAAGACACAATGTCCATGCAAAATCGGTATTACATTCGTTAACACATTTAGTTTAAGGATGCAGCACTCATTCAACATATTAGATTTTATAGTGTTGCATCCTTGATTTAATTGTAAAGTATACAGAGGCCTTCTTTGCCCTTTACCTAAACTACGCAAGAAAGCCTGTACCAGCGAGGATCCAAATTTGTGTGTTACCTACAAATATAAATACGTGTGTGCGTGTGTGCACACACGCACGCGCGAGGCTGGTTTATAATAAACCGAGAAATATGATGTTCAGAGTTTAGTTTGGCTCTTTTTTATTTTATTTTTTATTTTTTTATTCCTGACAATGAGATTTGTTTGTTTGGTCATTTAACCGACTTCAATTAAGATTGATTAAAAAATGAGTTACAAAACACAAACTTAAGTTCACGTGCTTAATCAAATCGCTCATTAACGAGTTTTTTTTTTTAATCTGCTCATTAACGAGTTTAACAAGCAAAAATATTAAGATTATTTAGACTTCAGACTTCTTTTTTTCTTTTTTGGAAAGGTAATTAGTAATTTGTATAAATAAAAATCTGTACATAGGCCCAAATTGTAGGCCCAAAGAAAATGCATCAAGCAAGAGTTAGTCAACAATACCAAGGCAAAGCCCAAAGATTCGAATTAGTATGCTACATTGCTATTTTCAGGATCGACAAGAGGATTCTTTGCTGGACTCAGTAGAAAAATCTTACGCCATAACCAAGAACATTAAAATTTATCATACACATCTACCTTTAAGTTCGGTTTGTTTACTTAAAAAGCGAACATAAACCCGAAGTTCAATTTATTCATTTACAGATCTACTTTGTCACGTCCACAATCAAGGAATTAAAATAAATCTTTCAGGAAAAAGATAGGTAAAAAGTAAAAACTGACTAGAAGCACTGGCAATGGTTATTAGTTGCACTTTTCTAACCAGACCTAATTCTTTACCCTAGCCGTGCCCAAGTAAAGAACAAAGTGACATGGGGTGCTTTGAAAATTTCTCACCCATTTCCTCCTTTTCCTTTCCCAAATAGACTAGAAAACAACCAACAAGTAGTTGGAATCTTACGTTGCTTGTCATCACAACCTTTTTATCTTAAAGAGCCATCATTCTAGGCCAAGTATTAGCAATAAGTTTGAGATTCTCATCTACAGATAAGTACACAATCACATATTCTTCAGCTTTTATTATCACCCATTGCAAGCTCTTTCACACCAAAATCCACTACCAAAAAACTAAGAAAAAAGCAACCCCTTTCCTTCCTCAGAATCAATCCCAATCTTTTCATCATACCCTTTCTTTTCTCCTCCTTTCCTTTCCTTCCTTTATAAGACTGGCATCCCTGTGGTTCAATCCCCACCATTTCTTTTCTCAGAATAACAGATGTGTTACGCATGTGTTCATCGGGTTGGTGACTATGACTCCGGCAATCAAGGTATGCAGTTGGTTTTGCCTGCAGCAAGAGCTGAGGAAGTTGTGAACCAGCAAGCACCAACTGGGTTGACCGGAATAGCCAGAGAAGGCCGTGGTTGCGGAGATATGAAGCAGTGTGTGTGCTCACCCACACGCCACCCTGGATCGTTCAGGTGCAGGCGCCATTATGCTGAGTATAAATGGGTGGGTCGACCACGGCCCAAGCTCAGGTAGTTGAGTACTAAAAAGTCTGTTTGATGTCGAATGAAGGGAATGCATACGATCCATCTTAAAGGTTTCAAAAGGAAATCACATTCAAATAGTACCATAAGAGCACCATTTTTCCTCCATGGTTTCATTTCAGATGACGAATTTCAAAATTGAAATGCTGTGTGGAAAAAGTAAGTGGTGCAATAAAATCCAAGGGATGTCCCGAAAGCCCCAAGCATGTGTGTCATTCTGGTGTACAATTAAACTTTACCTATGTGCTATATATAGTGTATATCCCACTTTCTTCTTCTACATAAATATGATGAATTGGTTTATATGTCAGTTTGTAATCTTAACAGAGCAAACAAATTGTCCACCCAGAGGATGCACCATTTGAGATGCATTAGACGAGAGATGCACCTGCCAAGTGCGCAATGCATTTCCATACTTGGCTAAGATTACCACACACTCTTGCATAACACATTAGATCCTGATAAGAAGACAGATATACATATATATAGATATAGATGTTTGATATATTACATCCAAATAATGCTTTCCCCAGGATTTCAGTATGACAGTTATTACAGAAACAGGTGACATGATATACACATTCTGAAATTCACATACCCAAATCTGCAGAAAAGGGCCATGCACACCATTCACCCTTTTTGCTTTGTTCCACTTCCTATGTTCAATCCAAATTCATCACTGGCCAGAAGGCAGAAAGACATTATTGTTAGTAGAACATAACCAGTACAAAGAGATCAATATATATATACACACACACACACACACACACACTCACAAGTACCAATCCAACTCAATCTACCATTGCCCACAATTGTATTAGACCTACAACAATAGGAACCATGGTTCTCTCTGACTCTCTGAGTCTGAGTCTCAAACAAATGTAAGAGTAAACAGAAATTTTCAGAAGGTACAATCAAGGATGGGAAGCCCATTAACTGGGTCTTGATTGAACAATTTTATATTGATGACTATGGTGTTAAATTTTGTAAAGGACATCGACCTGCTAACAACAAAAGCAATTTAAAAATGATCCCTTACCTCAGGGTAACAATTTTGCCGGACAATTGTTTGGTTGCGTGTATTTACATAAACCTCGCAAGATATTTTTGCCTATTTAAAAACAACATAATTTGTAAGGATTAGAAAATATGACTTTTAATCTACGAACTAAGAAGGTCTGGAAAATGAAATAATTAGAAGGACGCAAAACTATTATAAAGTTGCTTTCTTTGCAGTTGGCTATAACAACCATTTATCATCATTAGCCTTTTGTAGAGACGCAATAGTATCATAACATAGCTTTCTTTGCAGTTGGCTATAACAACTATATATCATCATCAGTTCCATGTACGCTTTCAAGTTGATTACACAATATTGATCAGCAAAACTGCACAATTATTTATTTGCAAATGAATTTCAAACAAAATAATTGACAATATAACGTTTTGCAGCTTTATAGCCAAGTAAAGGGCCACACGCATACAACTTCCTCCTCCAATCTTGACTTAGAAAACTGCCATATGTACATAATGATACCACTCTAGTGTTTAAACAATTTTTCTTTTCCTAGTTGGTACTCACACACGCTCCCCAAGGGAAGTGTTTAAACAATTTTGCTATACCGTTCCAAAAAGTAATCATGTCTGCCTAAAAAATCATCTAGTGGTATGGAGTTCATGTTGAACAATTTGCAAGGGACCCAAGTTATGTCTAATATTAAGCAATGCAAACATGTATGTAAGAAGTGGGACATTTTATATTCACGCCAATCCATTTTATATCGCCTGTATTCTAAAAAGTGACTGGTTATTTAACTAAAAAGAAGTGGCTAAACTAAGGTGAAATCAAGCATCCAAAAATATCACCATGGGCAGAAAAGAACTAGGCAGCTTGGCTAGGTTCCTATAATCCTATTCCCTTTAAAAGAAAACCCAAAAGAGAATGTCCAGCAAAGGCCTCTTAAGAAGTTTTCCCTGAAATTTTACTTCCACCTATATCATTAATAGGTCAGGCATCAAGGCATATTATAGTTATTATTTGAAATATATATATAAAGTAGTCTCTAGACCTGGAGATTTATCACCAGTTGAATTAATCACCTTTAGAATAAAGGAAAGAAAAGCACCAGCAGAACTAACCTGGTATACTGAATCAAGTTAGACTCTTCACTTCACAAAAAGTTTGTGAAGACAGTCTTAAGAGTGGAAACTTGAAAGAGCTTGACCCACCTAGGAATCTGATTCTTTAGTAGTGAAGAACCCTCCTACATTAAGTACCTCTTCTGCCCTCAATCCTTGAATAAAAAGATGAAAGCTAGCCCTTCTTCAGTCAGTTTCATTAAGTTGGGCACATACCAATGGAGCAAGTAAAAGATCGATGTTGGAAATGAGAAGGGCCATAAGAGTACAACTTGCGTTAAATAAGGTAAACAAACAACCATTCACCTTGCTGTGTTTTGAGCACTTTGTATGCAAAGGACTTGACAATACAAATTTGTGACAGATGTAATAAGACAAAAATAAAATACATACACATTTATATCTTGTGAGTTTGTGTAAATGACAAGCAAATTACATATTCAGACACAGCTGTACATACATAAATAAGGGGCTCAAGATCTTAAGGCGTTTTCTGAACTGTCACTTACTCAATACTCTGGTTATTTCAGTAAATTGTGATCCAAGCAAGCAGAGAATCTCTCTCTCCCAATCCAACTATGAGTGGAAAATTTTGAAACTCAATCAAGCACTATATGTATCAACAAATGAACTGTCACTACCTTGGTGTCAATAACAAATGTAAACTATTCAGGATTTGAGCCAAATGTCTTGAAAGGATCAATTACACCAAGTGAATTAAAGAGAAGGGGAAAAGTAATATAGTCAACAAGATACTATTGGGATTAACCAGGGTCCATCATATCCAAAGAACATAAAATACAGAGAAATAATAAGAGAGGGATTCTATCTAACCCACACATCAAGAAACCATGGATCGTAATAAAATGACAAATCACCAGTCCCTGTAATCCATTAAATATTCAAAAGAAACTCCTTTTTTACATCCATTAACCTTTTTCCAAAATTTCAGTAAAAGACTAAGTTCCAGGATAATGAATATCAATGCATCAATTAGGATGAGGAATGGAAAAGTGGAAAGAAGGAAATGCAAGAGAGATAAAGTAACTATACCTAGGAAAAGGAAGGGAATTTAATTTTTTTAAATGAAAAGGAAAGGGGTAAGGCTACGTTTGGTACGATGCAATGTAATGCATTAAAGCTTTTCATTCTCTTTCTGCTGTTTGGTAGATCACAATAAAGTAGGAATTACCATTCTCTTGGAATGACCATTCTTGCAAAAAGTTGGAATGGTCATTCATCTACAAGAGTTAAAAAGGAGCATTCAATTCCATCAGAGAATCATAATAAGATATAGGGTAAAATAAACCTCCTCCCCTGCAGTTACACCTAATTACACTCGCATTCAAGTTTGAATTTTGTAACACTTACCCTGCTATGACCGTTAGACCGCTCACGGACGTGAAATGTCTACCTCTAATATTATAATAATATAGTGGAGGAAATATATGTAATATTGAAATGTCACTTTGCCCTCCTTATATATTTCATTTTATTCCTCTCTCTCTCCACTTCCTACCACCACCGCCTCCCAACCAGGCCACCTCCTCCCACCAGTACCACCTTTCTCTTATCTATTCTTCCCTATTCTCTATTCTCTTGTTTTTTTACTCTCCATCTCCAACCATTGTCACTGCCTCCCACCACCACACCACCAAACGAACAAATCCAATAATTGAATTTTATTATATTACAGTTTTAAAATGAGTGAAATTCCTATATTGAACACCATGTCACATAAAGACATTATTTTATTCTAACAAATAAGATTAAAATAATACGAGTATTAGTAGTATTCATGTGTCCTTATAATTAGGAATTCAGCACTTATGACATGTGCATACATACCCGCACTAACACGTGATCCTGGAGTCCATGTAACAATAGCCTCCCACCACTTCCACCAACATTGCCACAACCACTACTACCTCTCTCCTGTCCACCTCTTCTACTTTCGCCACCCCTCCCACCACAACCACATATATTCTCTCTCTTCTTCCTCTCAAACCAGATTACCTACTTTCTCTTTACATATACACACACACACACACATATAGGTATATACCTTGTGTATATCTCTAATTTTAAGGTTGAAATGATGAAAATTAAGTGACGGGGTTTCATTTTCAGTATATGGGTAATTAAGCCTCTGGCCTACCAAATGGGATAACAACCAGCCCAAGAATCATCCCAGTTGCCTAAAGGTAGGAACAAACACTTCCAACCACAGAGTAGTTCAATAATTAAGGAGTACAATCTCCTCTATCTTCTCTCTTCTCTACTAGCACCACCTCTTTCTCTCTTCACCACCTCATCCATCAACCGCCAAATCATCCCTAAGTCCCATACAGCGGGAGCAAGAGCGAGAGAGCGTCAAAGTTCAAAATTACTTGAGAGCGGGAGCATCTCGAGAGCGGCTGTATAATTATATATTATAGATATGTGTTATATGAAATATGATTATATTAATTTATTAATTTGTAATTTTTATGCATTTTCTTTAACTAATATAAAATGCATTTGATAATATATTTGGAAATGTATAATGTAGTGAACATTCTTGTTAATTAAATAAAAATGTATAACTTATAATAGGAGGAGTTGTCTAGTGGTTACAGGTTAGTTGCAATACTTTGCTAGCTAATGGTTACACTTCAAGCCGTCTCCCATACAGCGTGAAAGGAAAGTGGGACACAACCTCCGTTTGATATACATATGCAATGCACACATGGCAGCTACTGAATGGTTTTGTGTGGATTCCTGAATCCTCAAAGTGAGTTCCCAAATTCTGAAAACCAAATCTGCGAATTATGCCTCGCTCCCAAATCGCAAATACACGTGCGGAGTGCTGATTCATCAGACAGTTGAACGAATCCTGTGACTGGGCCTCCTCCCACCTTCAATGTCATCTATTACCTATTCCATAATTAGGGGCCTCATGTTATACACAACATGTGTTTACCTAGACACACAATAGGAGTAGATACATTCCTTGCACTGCACTCGCCTACCACCTTCCTTATTGTATGTTCTCAAGAACATTATATATTCTCATTGTAATCATCCTTTGCAATATGAAATATACAGTCAATTATTGTCTCCCTGAGATTTAGCTTGCACTTTTGGCAGTAATGTCTACTTAAATGTCTATTTAATCTCTTCAATAGACTCTTTTTTTTAACATTAACTTACCTTAATAATGTGAAACATGCTTTTTAATTCCTCTTTTTTTCCAATTTTTTAATTTTTTCCTAACTTTTTCCTCTCTCCCTCTTCTTACTCATGCCTCTTCTTCTCTCCCACTTTTTTTTTTTTTTTTTTATTTTTATTCAATCACAGCTTCTCCAAGAATTGGAACACAGGAAAATTGAACAAGACTTATTTACAATTCTTTAAACATTATAATTTAGCTTTTACAAATCCTAGCATAAATTTCAATGTAAGGCTTTCTTCTACTAAGATTTTCCTTATAAATATGTTAAATAAAAAAATGTTACTTTGGATATGAAAAACTTTAAAAAGAAAAGGGTAAATTGCAGTGACACCCCCCCAGGTTTGCCTAAAAGACAGGTAGATACAACTTAGGCCATTTTTAGACAATGATACTCCCCAGGTTTGCAAACTTGAACAATGACAACACACTATAAAAAAAGAGCCAAACACAACCTTAATTGACATGAAATGTCTAATACGCCCTAAGATATACTTTAATTCTCTCATAAAATGACCAAACTACCCTCTCCTTATCTTTCTCTTTTCAATCCTATTTTTGCCAAACACAGATTCTCATCTCTCTCTTTCAACCCTCTCATCTCGGTGGCGGCAGCAAAGGTCGTGGGTGAAGATGTGATGGTCGGGTGGTGGCGGCGAAGGTCGTGGATGAAATGGGTTCGCCGAAATCGGATTGTGGGTGAAATGGGTTAGCCAAAGTCAATTTTTGGTGGTGGGGTTGGATATGGTGGTGGTCGGATGTGTGGCACTCGCCGTCGTCGAGCACATCGTTTGAAGCCGTCGCCGTAACAATCCATCTCATCGTGCTGGTTAGCATCGTCTTCTTCCCGAGGGTTGCAAAGGCACGGCTTAACGAAGTTTTAAGCCGCAAATTCTTCCAACAGTTGGTCTCCGCTGTCGGGTACTGCATTTGTGTGGGGTCTACCATAGAGATCTGATGCCGGACAACCTCCTTGTCGACGACAAAGGCGATTTGAAGGTTGCGGATTTCGGACTCAGTGCGGTCACGAACCAGATCTGACCGGCGTATGTGGTGCCGGAGTCCACCAATCACAGAGCCACATCAACATCCTCATTTGCTGCCCGCGGTTCATTCCACGACGGTAAGTCCTGTCGGTGTCATCCTTGAACATCGGCGGTAGGTTTTGTGCATCGTGGGTGTGATAAGGTGGTGGTGGGTCAAAATTGGCGGTGGGTTCATTTGGAAGTGGTTATGGACGGTGGTGGTGGGGCGAAATTGGTTATGGGTGTGATGGGGTGGTGGCTGGTTCATTTAGGGGTGATGGTTGATGGTGGTGGTGACTGGTTGGTTGAAATTGGTTGTAGGGGTGGTTGTGGATGGTGGTGGTGAGTTGAATTTGGTTGTGGGTGTGATGGGGTGGTGGGGTGTGTGTACGAAAGGGGATAAGGCCTAATTTAGGGGTGGTTAGGGTTCTCGTTGTGGACGGCGGTGGTGGTGTTGGTGGTGTGATCCAAACACAGGGTTGAGGGTCAATTTGGTCAATTCATAGGAAATTATAAAGTTAATTTAGTCAATTTTGAAGTCAAAGGGTAAACATGTACTTTCATCACGTTTGGAGTGTCTTTGTTCGGTTTAGCAAACATGGGGGTGTCACTGTCCAAAAATGGCCTAAATTGTATCTAACTGTCTTTTAGACAAACATGGGTGTCACTGCAATTTACCTAAAAGAAAATTAAACTTAATAGATATCATTAAAAAATAAAAAACTCAATCTCAAAAGGTAAGAATAAGAATATTTAAACAAGAATTATTGATATTTTATATCAATATAATTCTACCCCTGCTGCCGAATTAAATTAAAAGTGAATTTTAAAATCCAAAACATTTCTACTCATTCCAATCACAAGGCCAAACATGAAAACTATTCAAAAGTAACTCCCTTGCAAATATAAATTATATATTCCACATTATCATCTTCTTATTACTTGGGTCGTACCACCACAAGATGTGGGTGTATGAATTTCTTGCTAAGATTATATTATTAAAATCAAAAATCAAAAGAAAATATAAATAAATTTACTTGTGTCGCATAAGTGGAATTTTACCTCGAGTGGAAGGTCGAGGAAGAACAACCCGAGCCGACCACGAATCACCGTGACTGTATCAAACGGAACCGAACCCCTAGCCAAATCTTCAAGCAAAAGAATGACGTCAGAGAAAACTTCCACTCCATCCAAGTCAAGCCTAGCGTCCACGTACGACGACCCCATCGCCCTCACGTGCCCATAATCCGACGTCACAAACCCTAGATTCTTCCCCCTGTACCCAATCGCCATCTCCAGCGATCGATAATCCATCGAGTACAGATCTCTGTTTCGAACCTTGAGTGTGAGGTTCAATGCGATGTCAATTGCGATGGTAGGTTCGGTGTGGAATTGAATTCGTTCGAGGCGGAAGCGGACCATCTCGAGGTCGGGATCGGAGGGCCAGAGGGAGTAGACGGCGACGGCGGCGAGGAGGAGAGCGGCGGTGCAGAGGAGACGGCAACTCCACTGGCGGCGGCGGACGACGGCGGGGAGGTAGAGAGGGAGAACGACGTAGTTTTGGTGGTGCTGGTTTGGAGGTAGAGGGTGGTAGTAGTGAGATGGTGGTGGTGGTTCGTCGACGAGCTTTGGTGATGCCATTGCGCGATGTCAGGTGTGTTGGGTTTTTGGTCCGGAGATATAGAACTACAGTCTACAGGTGTGATTTGGGAGTGAGTTTCGTGAGTGGAGAGGAAGTTGAGGTGGGCCCAAGTGGATTGTTTGTTTTTTTGCTCTTCATTGTTTTGTTGCGGTGTGAATGAAGTGAATCTTACTCTTTGCCTCTTTGGCTTTTATTTTTCTTATATATATATATTTAAAAATTATTTGCAGTCTAAATGGGACAGCCTATCATTTTACTTTACCTCTTTTTTTTTTTTTTTTTTTTTTTTTTTTTTTAACACTCCGTAATCAATAATATTATGAACTTTTAAGCAAAGAAATTAGATAGCAAGGTACGTTCTTTTTACCTGTGTCAAAACATGTATATTTGGCCTCTCACTATTAATGTAATATCTGTTTTGCCATTTTATTTTATTTTTCTATATATCCAAGATGGTCTGCATGCTAATAATCACAAAGTATATGTTTTTTTTTTTTTTTTTTCTTCCTAGTTGGTATTCATGTACACATGTCTCTACTGAGACTTGAACCCCTAACTTCCCTTTAAAAAGTAAATATTGATATTGCTAGAGTGCTGACTCGTTGGTTTATATGCACATTTAACTCACTTTTTAAAGAATTTTTATTCACATTTTTAAAAAAAAATATCAAAAAATTCTACGAGATTGGACATCACCATTTGTTGTTAAAAATAAAATAAAAAAGAAACAAAAATCCAAATTCGATTTTGTTTGGACCCTTGCATTCTAAAAGATCGAACCAAAATGGATGATATTAGGTATTATTCTAAGATACTATAGCACATACGAAATATGATTAGGGGAGATTAATAATAGAATTAACTTTCTCTGTATCACAAGTGCAAGTTACTCAACATACACAAAAATGGAGTGGCTAAGCTTGGGTTTTCTTTGAACTTTGTTTTTGTTTGAATTGTGTCCCTCCTATTTTGTTTCGGGTTTTGGATATATTAACCAATTAAGAGTTCAATAAATTATTTTTGATAGTCTAATATATTTTACTAAAGTGATGGACAAAGTCGTACAATTCTTCTCAACAAATGTCGCTCACACGATTTGAGCGCGCTCTCATGCTTCGCGTATGCTCTCGCTCAAATTCTCATCATTTATGGTTCAATTCAGCCGCTCTCATGCTCCACGCTCTTGAATTCGCTCTCACTTTCACTTTATGTGACTTAAGTGATGGGAACAATTTATGTTCGTTATTATCGAGTAATCTAATTGGTGTAATTGCCAACAACTAGTTTCGAACTAATTAATATTTATTTTAATTATAATTGAGAATAGAAGGGTACAGGTTAGTGAATGCATCTCTTTTTTTTTTTAACAAGCCTTTTTTTTTTTTTAAAATAATAAAAAAATAAAAAAAAACAAGTGAACTAAGGTGCATTCACTGACGTGAAATGTTTCCTGTCTTTGCTTTTACAACAAATATATATATATATATATATATATATATATATATATATTAATAAAACCTTAAAAAACCGAAATAGGGTTTACACCATTTATTAACACATTTGTTAAATATTTTTTTCTATTTAATTTTGAATTTATCTATTAAAAACATACCTTCAAATCCTAATAGTATACAGCTAAGAAGCACAGATACGGATACCACACGACACAGACATGGCGACACGGTAAATCTAAAAAAATTAGGATATGAACACGGCGAATAGTGTGTGTGTATATATATATATATATATATATATATATGTAATGTCGTATTTTAAAAATTGCCTAGTGTTACTATTTTTCATCAACCTCATAATGAAAAAAAAAACACAAATTATAACTCATAACTAATAAACTATAAAAGAACAATGTTACATAGTTATAAAACCAAATAAAACAACAAGACATTAGAATAATAACTAGTATCATTTAATCATCATTGCAAATTTTACTCCAAATACAAAAGTATAGACATAAAGGACTATTAACATTCATGACTATTTAACATTTATACTGTTAGCACTTAACATTCAAAAAACCTAAAGGGTAGTCCCCAAAAAAGATACAAAAATAAGTCAGTATACTATCATCTATTCTTATCTATTATTTGACCTAGAACTTTTACTATTTAAAATACCAAAAGGGTAGTACAAAACAAACAACAGAACATATCAGCATTAAATTTTTTTTTAAAATTTTTTTTTTCCAGACACGTGTGTCTACGGAGTGTCCATGCCGTGTTCGAAAATAAAAAAAAAAAATTCCAGATACGTTTTTTAGTGTGTCCGACACATGTCGGGGGTGTCTGACGCGTGTTCGTGTCCGACAAGTGTTGGACATGAATTCTTCGTCCATTTTGACTTGTCCGTGCTTCCTAGGTATACAGTAATGAAATACAACATCATATTTGAAGTAACAAATTCTAACCATATCAAGTACATGAGCATAAAATACTTTCATTCAATTTAAAGTCATAATAGTGACATCACGTCATAGTAGTCTTCTCTAAAATAAAATAAAAATCACATAACACTATGAATCACTTTCTACACGAAAGTTAATCCACAATTTATTTGTGATTCAATCGTGAACTCAATTTATTGATTGTATTTGATCTTGAATAACTCTTACATCGACTTGCATATGAGGTGTAGAGGTACTAATTCATCATTCTTCTTCAAGTCAGACATTTTCATAGGTTTTTATTTAGTATTGGTATGTTAAGCACTTTAGATTTTGATATTGAGAAAAAGAGAAGACTTGTGAAAATTTTATGGACAAGAAGAAAAAATCATAGTTTATACTTCACGTATAGTATAGTTAACCAACATTATCCATGTATTGTTGTACATCATGAAAGATCATCTCAACTTTTTAAATAAAAAGAGAGTAATGCGAGACATTTTTCAAAAAGTGACTTGCTAGAAATATTTTGACAGCGTGAAAAAAAATTATTTTATTTGTGAGAAACACTTTCATTATGGAAAAAAAAAAATACATCATTAAACATATTTTTTATTTTTGTTTTATCCTTTTAAAAATTAAAACAGAACGCAGTAGAAGTACACATAAAGGTACTACGAAAGTATCACCATCTCTTACTAGTTTCTACAGAGTACGTAAACGACGTCGTTTGGTTCGAATATGTTGCTGCCAAAGTGCCAAGTTCCAACCCAAGTCACAATCTAAACTAGCGAAAACTACCGGTCAAAAGAGCAATACAAACCTACCATTCGCATTCTTCTCTCAGTAGACTACTTCATATTAGCTCTATCCCGTGTTTAATTCCCACGACAATGTACACAAGTTTCCTTTTTCTGAAATAAAATTGCGTACTTTCTCTCTCTAAAAGTCTCTCTCTCTCAACAGTTCACAGCCAATCGTCCTTGGATGGCAAAGCCAGGCAACAAGATTATACAAGCCAAGCTGGTGGGTATGTCTTACCCTTTTTCTTCAATCTCCTCACCAATATTTTTGCTCTCTCTCTCTCTATATATAAATGGTTGATTTCTTTATATTAATCTGAGAGTTTAGTGTTTCCTTTTCTTTTTGTATCAATCCTTATGCTGTTGTTGATGGGTTACCAAAATTAGATGATAGATGAGTATATTGATTGGGAAAAGAATGATTTTTTATAGATTTTTTTAAATCAGTCGGGGGATTTAAAGACAGAAGTATATGTTTTCTCATGAGATTATTTTTAAGGGCATACACATTTGATCGACAAATGTAATTGCTAGTTTTTCACGGGCAATTAGTAGTATATAGAAATAAGAAGAATATACTACATCAATGCTCTCTTCAATTGCTCTACTTAAAGTTGACTTTGTTGCTATGATCAATTTAGGGTGCATTATGGGAACCGTGAAAGTTGAATGTCTCCATGTTTTACATAATGTTTGAATCTACAAACACTTGTATAGAGTCAGACCAGTATTGAAATTCCGGGTTTTAATCCAAAGTTCATATACTACCAGTCCTAGGATGTCATGAAATGTTGCTGCTTCAAACGTTTTACTATCATGAAATGTGATCAATTGGTGATATTTGCTATTATAGTAGCCCTATTCACAATGAATTACATAAAAAAAAGTTCATATGAAGATGGGCACTCCATCTGCTATTGGGCATCCAAATGTGCCCTTAGTATGTAAGGTTCTTCATTACTATTTTTTAAATATATATTTTTTCATGGGCATTCGTATAATATTGGAATCTAAACCATCTGAGATGCTCCATCCAACCCCTGTTGAATGTTGATTTCCTCCAGAGAAAAACACTAATTAATTCTAATTGTGTAGCAGCACGATGATTCATGACTCAGCCATACATTCCTCCTGGGGATGTAATGATCTAAATTCTGAAGTTCAGTGTGTTTTGTTCAGATTTTAGATATTCGGGGATTGTGTTTTAGAAGAGCCTACTCTTTTGTGTTGAGATCCAATGAACTGACTGGCACTTATGCTTTAAGTATGCACTAAAGGTCTGTTGGCTAATCTCGGAGTTCCGAAGTTCATTTGGCTTTTTATGGCATTTAGAAAATGGGGATTGTGTCTTATAATAGCCTTCATTTTCGTTTTTGAGATCCCTTGAATTGGATGTGACATCTGCATTGAGTAAGCACCAAAGGTCTAGGAGCTAATTTTTTGTAGACCTTGCTTTTGCAATATGTGCATGCTTATTATTTTTGTATCTAAATACATGCTTTAAAGATGTTCTTGAATCTTTTTCTTTTTTCTTCATTTTTTTATTTTCTATGGTTAAGTCATAAGTTTGATGTTTGGAACTCCACACCAGAACATGGGTACTTGTTTCACACACTAAAGAAAAAGAAAGAAAAAACAACAGAAAATTTATTCTTCTGATCATTTAATTTTTGTTGTGTTCCTCTGTGGGAAGTTAATGACCATACAGCTTCTGTATTGTGACCTAACCTCTGCATTTGTACCCTGTTTCTTTTGGCTTTGAGGATGGTCTTAATTATTATGTAAGAATATAATGTTCCATAACTTTCAGTGTGGATGAACAATTTAGCATCAACTCTTTAGCGAATAATGTTCAAGAACTTTGATTCTTCTTAGCTCTTTTGTATTTTTCTGCAGGTGCTTCTGGGAGACATGGGAACAGGAAAAACCAGTTTGGTATTAAGATTTGTCAAAGGCCAATTTTTTGAGCACCAGGTTTGTTTTCATGTCTTGTTAATACTGGTTAAACTTAATTTCTTTAATTTATTATATAAATATGTCTACTGCCAAAGCCTTGATATATGTTTTGATGCAGGAACCAACTATAGGAGCAGCCTTTTTCACTCAGATATTATCGTTATCAGAAGCCACTGTGAAATTTGATATATGGGACACGGCAGGACAAGAACGGTACCATAGCTTGGCTCCCATGTACTATCGTGGTGCAGCAGCAGCTGTTGTTGTTTATGACATCTCAAGCATGGTAACTACTTATATTATTTGTGTGGTTATTTGTAGTTAATGCAGGTCTTGATAAATTCAGTTATATTAAAATTCATTTTGAGACCAATATAACTATGGATCATGCTCTATCTAATATGTTCTTTCATCTGATAACTCTATGAATCTATAATCCACTGAGTTATTTGAACTATTTAATAACAGCCTATGAAGCACACATTCTTCTACAAGTGGGATGTACTGCTATCGTGTTTGTATCGGACACCAACACTCCTTGGGTACTCGCAGATACATGTCTGATACTTCCTAAAAGTATCCAAATTTTGAAATTAACTTTTTCTTTTTTAATTTCTAACGCGTATCTATACTTCTCAGATAGTTCGGCCATGTATCCAATTTTTCTCATATACTTCAGAACACACATTTAACGAGTCTTCAACATTAAAATATAACTTTTTCAAGTATATATCAGAGTATAATTGTTAAGAAAAGTTTACAATTCCTTAAAACAAGAAGAGTATTAATATATATATATATATATATATATATATATATATATATATATATATATCATGACTAATATAGTTTAAAATTTAGTTCATGAAATATAATTCTCAACTCTCAATTGTTTGTCATGGTTCTTTTATAAGGAAATGTTAATAACAATATATATAACATAGCAAACAGTTGTTACTTTATACATAGAAATACATATTCTTTTAATTTTTTTATATATCCACATTAACACAATATACATGTATTGACCTGTCCTTACCGTATCCATGTCCTATTTTTTAAGATTATGCCGTATCGTGTCATGTCCATATACCGTATCCGTGTCCGTGCTTCATAGATCGCAACTTTTATGACAATTTGATTGGAATCTTCGCAAAATATGAATGAGTGATTTGTATTGACTCTGCACTCCTTATCCTTTTAAGAAGAATACAGTTGATAAATGAAATGCTTATTGACCATTTATGTCAATAAAAATTTTCGAATAATAGTGATACTTAAATGGTACCCCCATGATTTTCATAGAGGACTAACTAAGGTAATGGCCTTAAAGCGGAATGGTGAGACTCAATTCAGTTAGCCATCCCAAAATAGTTGCAAAAGAACATATCCAAGAATGGACATTTATGATTTTAAACAATATAGAATAGAGTCCCCTCTCTTTCAAAAGTATTTTCTTTCTCCGTTTGTCTCGTAATATTAAATGGACAAGTGGAATGTATATTGAAGATACAAAAGCAATACAGTTGGTGTCTGTCTGAAATATTTTCTGTAAAGTAATCACCAATATATGATATATTTTGGATCCAATCCTAGCTTAGTCTCCATGAATTACATTATTACGCTACACTAGTTCTGTAATGGAAGCTTTGTATTTTGAGCGGTGATGACATTTTAAGCATATTTAGGTGAATGTGATTGCAAAGTCATTTTTTTGTTCATCTCCAATTTTCGAGCAGTGATTTTAAAATGTTCGATTTGCTTATGGCTTTAAATCTTTCACAACAATTATTTTGAAGGGAGGCCATGTCTTAAATATTTCAATATAACACATCATGTCTTTTTTCTATTGTTCTGTCTTAAGTGTAATCTAGGTGAATAATAATATTGTGTTTTGGCTTCAGGATACATTCATTCGAGCAAAAAAATGGGTTCAAGAACTGAAGAAACAAGGTAACAACATGAATTAGAAAACTATTGCTCTTATTGGTTCTTCTTCCTTGACCTGAAATTCTTAATATCCAAAATAATTCACCTAATTTTATCATCATATCAAGACTTATGGTTTTCAATTGATCTATCCAAAAAAAAAAAATTATGGTTTTCAATTGCGCAATCTTACATTTCAAAGAATTTTATAAATTATCACCCCAAAGCTCTCAATGCTATTTTTTATTTTTTTTGGTTCACAATTCCTTTCTCCTTCTCATGCCTTTGTCCTTTCCCAACAATTAAATACTGGGTTCCTGCATGAATTGAAAATTTCAAACGTGTGATTTGTTTGTATTACCACTAGTCATATTTTCCACTTATTAGTAGTGACAGACTGGTTAGTGAAATTGTCATATGATGATGTCATATACATAAGAATAAAAGAGAGTTTGCATCTTCACTAGATCATCTTATTACGATCAAAAGACTTATCCTTAGCTTTCCCGGTAATTACCTCCCCTACAGATGTTAGCTCTCATCTTGTATCATTGTGAAGTAACACTTATGTGGCCCTTGTCCTGGTTTCTTGTAGAAACATGTGCAAGCCTCTTTTCTGTTCTTACAATACGAATTTCTTTAGTATGCTTAGATATATCATTTTAAGTTATTTCTCCTATTATTATTTCTAGGAAATCTACATTTGGTAATGGCATTGGTGGCAAACAAATCTGACTTGGAACCAAATAGAGAGGTGGAGACTGAGGTATGTGTGAGATTATTTATTTTTTATTTGAAGGTTGATGGAAAAAGATGATCATAACCACATTAAAACTATGCGGCATCCATATTAAGCTTAAGACGTAGATACGGGTTGATAAGAATTCACGATGCCTAATTTTAGACATGTATCTAACAGGTGAGCGTAGCAAAGGAGAAGAGAATACATTTGTTAATTATAAGTTTCTTTGGATACTTATTATTATTATTTTGTCTTGTTTTGGTAAGTAAGCAACACAGGCACACACGCGCACGCACACCAACACAACCCCATGTGGGGCTCGAAACACCGCTCACCTCTCCTTTGGGAAGGAGAGCTCATATTACCCAGACCAACGGCCTGAGGCAGTCTTGGACATTGCACTTAGTGAAATACACATGTTGGACATTTGAAGCTTGCGTGTAGTCCAAGGTTTTCACCAATCCTAAGATATTGAGATTAAGCAGTTTGGTCCACAGGCACACACCCATGGCGGACATTCCTGGAGTTAGAGTGTAATGTAGTTTACCTACATTATTGTCCACAAGTATCTGTGTGACTGTGTCATATATATGGTGTCAAAATGTTATCAACTGATCGTATGATTCTTGAATTTAACTTACTGCACTTGATTTTCTGCTCCATGAAGGGATTTCAGTTCACTGTCATATTATTAAATCTAGCGGTGGCAAAAAAATATTGTTCCTGTACAGGGGATTTGTTGTCCTAAGGCGCATCTGTAATTCTATGAATTTGTTCTGTGATGTAACCTCTCAGATCCTCTTTAACTCTTTCAGGAAGGGGAGCAATTCTCTCAAGAAAATGGCATGTTTTTCATAGAAACATCTGCAAGATCCTCCCAAAACATTAATGAGCTTTTCTATGAAATAGGTAAGTTGTATATATTTATTTTTTTAAATTAACAGATAGCTACTTTAGTTTGAGCTAGACAATGGAACAGCCTATCATTTGTGTATATGATGCAAGTTAGTCATGCCATAGTAGACTATATAGATCTATGCAAAATAGCAAGCCAATCAAGTAAATAAGTAACACACAAGTTTTTAGTAGTATCGTAAAATTGTTAGAAAAGTTCTGGTTTTCTTTTTCTTTTTTCTTTTTAAAATATTAAGCATAATGCCTAAATGATTCCTTTCCGACTTCTGCAGCAAAACGATTGGCAAAAGCCAACCCTTCAAAGCCTACTGGACTGAAACTGCGCCGTGAAACACAGAATAGAAGACGACTATTTTGTTGCTTGGGATAACATGCTTTTCTTTGTAAAGATTCTGAAGGTGAATAATTATCTCAAGCCTTTGTGACTTTCATGTGTAGATACTTGTTTCCAGAACAATACTGTATCAATTTAGTCCAAATTTCTCACTCATCCTATTTCTGAAATCAGACAATTGATTTGCATTCAACTATTTCCAGGCAAAAATTGGTGCTTCTAATATTTGTAAAGGTGGTCACACGAAATCCAAATGAAATATAAATACTTGTTGTTTATGAGTATAATGGTACTAAACAGATTTTTTGACTGAATGACTGCACATTCCAAGTCCCTGTTTTGGTTGATAACAAGTCACTGGGTCTTAATATTCAGCTCTAGATGTTTTGTAGAATTGATTCCGTTACTATACTAGAATTTGTACAGCAGAAACCATTCAGAAGAAGATGTATCCCTTTTTGGTCGATACAGGAAATACAGAAGAATATGAAAAGAAATTGTCAACAAACTTGATATATGGAAATCAATTTCATAATTGTAAATACATCAATCATATGCCAACAAAATCAAGTTCATAATTAACTGATACATATCATGTATTTTTGGATGTTATTTGGACCCAAAATAATATGAAACCAAAGGTTGTGCTCTCCATTATTCTCAGAAAAATAATAACTGGATTCAAGATATACCTGGACTGACTTTTGGCCTCTGTTACTCCATGGACTGACATTTTGAGTGAAAACAAACCTTTTCCTCGTGACACTTCCTAAATGTTATTTTGGAAATTAGGGATTTATCACAATCACATGACACAAACAACTGCAGTTCTTCCGAACCCGACAATGGCATTTTACAGAAGGGACATATCCTAGAAAAGGTGCCGTCACCTTCTCAAGCTGTTATGCTAACATATGAACTAGTAATATAACACACAGCAGCAGTGGCTCAATACAACAACTTTTAGTTAAACTCTAGGTTTTTATATGCCTATCAACATGTAGAGTATCAGAATGTGTATGATTTGGAGTGCTAGTACGCTTGAAATTTTTACTATCAAATGATCTTGAATGAAATATCTGAAGCTTGATAGAGAGAACTATCAGAAACTAGTAATGCTTTTCTACAGATAATGTTTGCAAGGTATCGAAGAATCCTGCGAGGGATTACAGATTTTAGCATCTGGTGGCAATATCAGTTTTACTTCTCTTTAAGAGCAGCAAACCGAGCTAGAAAGTCATCGTAGTCTAGTAGCTTAGGTTGTTCATGCCCCATATCCGGTTGAAAGGAAGAGGCTCGAGCATGTCCTTCTGTTTTCTCATGAGTTGGACTTGTTGGTTGTAGAGGGAGAGATGCTACTCTGCTGTGAGGACCATCTTTGCTCTTATTCCTTGTTGCAGCAGCAGCATAATGTGAAGGTGTCCGCTTAAGAGCTGCTTCCACCGCTCCATGTTCATAAGGAGACTGTTTTGCGCTGTATTGTTTCAAAAGATCATCCATCCTTCTTTCCTCTTCATCCTCATCCTCACTGAAGGTCTTTAACCCACCTTTTGCATCTTGTTTTGCTCCATTTGAATGTGTTTTCCCATCACCATCAACTTTGTCAGCATTCTCATGACCTGGTTGTGGTTTCAGGCCTGTACGTTGCCTCCTAACGGATCTTGGTTTTCGATTGGCTTTAACCAAATCATCCTTGTCAGGATTTTCTTTCCCATCAACATGTTGATTCAGTTTTTTGGGTTCCATCGCTTCCCTGCTAGGACTTGCAGCAGGAGGAGCCTCGGAAACAGTTTCATTTTTGTCATCTTTTTGTCTGCTGCGATAAGGAGGGGGTATTAATCTGTAATAGAAGGGCTGCTTCTCTTCAACTTTGTCCTCAGGAGCACCATTCACCAAATTTGAAGTAGTTTGTTGCTCACTTCGTTCCACGCTTGCCAATTGAATATCTTTACTGGGAGCGTTTTCCGGTCTTTCACGAGACGGATGACCATGATCCTCTCTTTTAGGCACAGCATTTTCCCTATGTTTATGCAATTCATATCCATCATGGTCCTCCATGTTCCTTCTTGGAGCAGTATGCTCCCTCCTACTCCTGTGTCTATTCCCAGCATCATGGTTGTCTATTTTCCAGTCAGATTCATCCCTGCTTTTGTGCAATTTGTGTTTGTCATCATCGGCATTCTTAGACAAGTCCTGCAAAAGTGTGACATGTGAAAGGGAAAAAATGACAAGTGATTAGACAAATCCGACTGTTTTATGTGAGTAGGGAGACGTCATCATTCACTAACATAAATGTAATCGGATGAATCCGACTCTTGGACAGGTATCATGACCGATATGAATATAGGGAAGCTTACTTGTTCAGAGGAAGGTGGTTTATACAGCTTCTGGTCCAAAGCCTTGGAATCCCATACTATGCCAGCCTCAAGTGCTACATCTTGCAACAGTTGAAGCTTCATCTCCTTTGTAGGAGGCACTGCCTTTAACTTCCCAACAAACTAGGCAATCGTAAACGATCACCCGGTCAGTAAGTACATACATGTTATATACACACACAATTGCACACTGTAAGAAACCTAAAGAATGGATAAGCAAGCACCTCTTGATTGGCATAACATTCAAGAGAATTCCCATATCTGTCAGTGAATATGCTTCTGAGGTCCCGTAATTCTGGCAAATCCGCGAATCTTGCTGCTGCAATTGTCAAAGAGGATACAGCTTCCCTACATTCCTCAGGGCATTCCCTGTATAGAGAAATCAGTCACTGTATGTTTTGTTACTATAATACAACACCCTAAATCACACACACACACACATGCTGCAACAATGAACAAAATGAACTTTAAATTTCATATACCTTTGGCTATCGATCATTGAAAGATGATTTGATATACACTCACGGAATTGCTCCACCAAGTCGTAAGAGCTAGACACATTCATCTCAACTAGCAAACCTTCAGCCTAAATCACCATAAAATGAGTTTGTTAAATATTTTCTTTCTTCATTAATTTGTTTCAAATCTTAACATATAGGAAAACAAAGAGGGGAATTTAGAAATTAAAATCATTTCACTTCCTTCTATTGGGTTATAAATTCATCCATTCCAAGAATCTAATCAGACTCAAACGAATCGCAAATAATAAATTAAAACCCAGAAAATCAATCTCTTTGCTTAATCATAGAAACCTCAGAAAGATTGTTGATTGTGACTTCATATAATTTCATTACAAATACAGATTAAAAGGCTAGCAATTAAATAAATAACTAACTAAACACGGGATCAACAGCTAGATATGCTAACATTTTGAACTGCCAATTAATATAAACAATTAAACTGAACCACATGATTCAAGTTCTTGAAAACCCAATTGGGAAAATGAATTGAAGATCAATATATCACTCCATTAACGTACAAAAAGTAAATATATATATATATATATATATATATATATATATATATATATAAACCCAAAATTACCCTGCCATATGCATTGATATCAAGACCATTTTTGAGAAGATCAGCAATGTCTTTTTTCAAATATTTCACCATTGAACTCCTTTTCTTCCTTATCATCTCCATTCGTGTCTTCGTCAATTTGATTGCTGTTTTGCTATATCACATAAAAAAAGAAAAAAGAAAAAGAAAAGAAGAACAAAATTAACAATCAAAATTAGATTACAATAACATAATTTATTCATCAAACAGAGACGATATAGGTGTTGGAATGCTAACCATTTTATGTAAAATTTGCTTTTTGTTAACGAGTCAAACATGTTGATCTTCGAGAGTCTTTGAATTGAATGGTGTGAAAAAGATTTAGATATTGATCAAGTTTGAAGAACTATTGTTGTTTGAATGTGAACCGTGTTACGCCAAGATTTGGCATTAGAGAAGTTGAAAAGAAAAGAAACGAAGCTGTAAGGTTTGAGCAAGAAATGAAACAAGAATGAAGAAGAATTCCAATGGTCATATAGAGTTAAAGAAGTCTTAATGATATTCAGAAATCTTAGAGAGAGAAAAATGCGTTTAGAGAGAGAAGGAAATGAATATACAGAGTATGATGTATCTACCCTCCAAAAAAGAAAAACAGAGAAAATACCGATTATCTAAATTGGAATTAAGGAAGCTCGATATAGAAAGAAATGGAGCAGCTTTAGAGAGAGAGAGAGAGCGATATATATATGCGTGTGTGTATCTATAGATATATAGAGAGAGAATTGAATGAACAATATGGATTGTGTAAACAGGTGGTGCAAGTTTACGTTGGATTCTCTCCCCCCTCTCTTTCTCTCTCTAAAATAAGGATGTGCATATATATATATATACAGTATAAAACTGTAATGACAGTATTTTTACGGTAATAGCCAGTGGATTAAGAATGACTTGAGGGATGATTTGGCGCGAAATATGGCATTTTAGGCACTGAAAAAGGATACTTATTGATTAGGAAGCCGGCGGTTGGATGACGAGAGACACAGAGTGTAAATCGCGGGAGAGACAAACAGTCAATGTACTGTTTTGAAGTGTTTAATTTGGTGAATTTTTATTTTCATATCGAGATTTTTAGTATGGATTTAATATATGGGCAATACTTTGCCTATTCACCTTGTGAGTAGTAATTTATACTTACCAGGTATAAGTTAAACTGACAAGTGATTTTATATTTAAAATAATTAAAAATAAACAATTTGATAGCTATTGGGTTGAATCCAAATAGATTCCAATCAAATTCTAATTCTCTCTCCTTTCCCTCTTTCTCTCGTTTCTATCACGTGGAAGTCCTAATCTCATTCATTTTGTTCCTCTCCGCTTCTCTCTCGCTCATATTTTTACAAAGTTGGAAGATATGCAAAATATGGAAATTGAAGTCCGGTAAATAGCAGTGGAATAACAAGAGATTGAATGATACCATCATCAGAAAATCGGACATGATACGCAATCAAGAGAAGATTATATTTATTTATAGAAGTATATACCCAACCATCAACATTCAGCCTTTCCATCCAAGTGCTAATATACATCATCCTCGTTGTCCTTTTTGACGAGCTGCCACTCCTCCATTGAATTCGTACTCCCGACTCTATAACAATAGAATTGAGTTTTGCGATCAGGCGGACTTTGATTTGTATCTTCAACTGAAATGAGAATACAGTCCTTGATGATCGCATAATCGAGGACAGTCATGGGTAATTTTTCCTCCCAACCTTGAAATTGATGAGGTAGTAAAGAAGATTCCCACTATTGAACATTATCATGATTAATAGTAGGGGAGAGGAGCATAACGGATGAGATTAGGGTTTCCACAAAATAGAAGCGTGAGAAACAGGAAGCGGAGAGAGATTTAGAATTTGATTCGGATCCATTTGAGTTTAACCTATATAACTATCAAATTATTTATTTTTAATTATTTTAAATATAAGAACACTTATCAGTTTAGCATTGCGCCACATACGTGGTGATTATAAATTTTTTACTCACCAGTAAATAGGCAAGTATTGTCCTTAAAATATTGCATATGCACATTGACACATGTATTTTACAAATCACAATAAGTAAATTATTATGGATAAGACTTAAGGTCATCCCATTTACTGTTAACGTGGTCCAATAACAAATGTAATCCGTAATTACAAAATCAAGAAAATAATAAATAATTATAATATTTTTTTAAAAAAAATAAATTCAGTCACTTCTCTAATTTCTTTATTTATCACTTTTTTTAATTTTATAATTTCGAACTATTTGTATATTTGTGATTGGACCCGGTTAGTAAGAATAACCTACTCACCTCTGAATATGCTTGAAAGAGTAACCTAGTCACAAAGACTTTTAGCTCACGTTGTTGAGAATTTAAATTCCTTTTAAATCATTTTATGAGAAATTTTTCAACAATTACTTGGTGGATTATAATTTTTTTTAAAAGGTCTGATACCGCCATTGAAAAAAAAAAAAAAAAAAAAAATCTTAATACTAATATAATATTTATTTCATTGTGGAGAGGGTCAATTGGTCAAACATATATATATATATACACACACACACACACAATACACACATATATAATCTAATAGTCAGACGACTTTGTATGCAATACAACAAATAAGTATGTGAAGGTGATTTGATTTCATAAATATACTTACATTATCCTTTGCCTCTTGTGTACATTAGGGAATTCGTTACAGTGTCATCTTAGTACATAAATGTTTATTTGCCTGATTTGTTTGTTTGTTTGTTTTGCAGCGAAACAAAAGATAAAAGAACAAATGTATCTTTAAAAACCTAACATAATTATCCACGTGTCATTATGGGGCTCTGCCGCCAAAGAGAGACCAAGTCATGAGGACCCGGTAAACAGTGTGTGTATATATATATATCTTATGCACACATACATACTCCATTACTCCTAGTTGTTTAGACTTTCTTTTATGTTTAAAAGAAGTGGTGCTAGTTGTGAATTTATTAGATCAGTGAGACAAAAATCATATACAGTATATTGTACTAATAATATACTGTGAATTATTCTATTTCCAGATTTTTTTTCTTTCTTGTTTTTGACATATTTAGATTTAACTAGTGCAAGCTCAATATATATAGTTTTCTTAAGCTATATTTGGTAGGAATGAAGGAAGTAGAAGTCCGGAGAGAAAATAGAAAGAAATGAACAAATTTTTTTTATTCGGTGGAGATGATACAAAAAAAAAAAAAGAAAAAAGGAGGAGAATAAAAAAGATCACTCATCTTTTACTCCGTTATAATTCTCATCGGCCCAAAAATAGGTAGAAGAAAGGAGAAAAAACAAGTGAATTATAATTATATAAGTTTTAAATTAAAGTAATATCATATTTATTTATTTATTATTATTATTTTTTGTCATTGGCAAAAAACTCAAACATCTACTTTGTTCTTTTGCAGACTCGAACTCTCACCATCCATTAAAAAGTAGAGGAGATATTACTGGACCACAAAGTTTATAATATAATACTATTATCTATAAATTACAATATTATAAATATTATTAAATATAATGATAAAAACAATTAATTTTTTCTCTTTCTTTTTCTCTTAACTAACATGGTAAATTATGAACTTATTCTCTTTTCTTCTCTTCTCTTCTATTCTATTTGTTTTATCAAATTGACCCATCAAATATAAATCTAATGTTTAATTAAATTATTGAATTGGCTTAAACTTGGTCCACTTAAATTATTTAATTAACCCAGCCTAGATGATTAAATAAAAAGATAATTATTCCGGTCTTGTCCGGTTATAATTATGTCCTTATCAGGAGATGATTCATGTTATCATCCTATTAATGAATCCTATAAATAGAGGCAAGAAGGAGGCATGATCTAGTTATAATTATGTCCTTATCATGAGAGGACATATGTCATCAACCTATTAATCTAAGAAGTCTATAAATAGAGGCATGAAGGAAAGTATACACAAATTGAGAATTCTAGAAATCCAGTATTTCTCTCTCATCTAATTCCCCTTCTTATTGGACAGAGAAATTTGAAAGCCTTGTGTTTTCAACAAATTAGAAAAGTGACGTAAAATTGGGTTATTTTTTTAAGGGTCCTACTATTTGAGCTGAATTTTGGTACAAAAATAACTATCCTTTGTTAAATATGTTTTCTTGTAAAAAATGTTAAAATCTTTCGATCAAACAAATCTATGATTTTTTTTCTATATTCTATGAGATGGAAAACAATTACTCCGTATAGTTGTTGACGAAGTCAAAGGAACTTCCAAGGTTTACATTGAAGAATATATTGTGGGTAAAAGCCACATTATGTGCTCTCAATGATCGATTAGATGCCTAAATTACGGGATTAGAAACCATGATTATGCATCATTGGGGGATGTATATATATATATATATATGAACAAGGTTACATTGCTTGAACTCCTTTTTACCATGAATTACTTCTTGAATAGAATAATGTGAATGAAAAGGTGAAGAAAAAGCAGGTAAAAAAGTTGAAACCAACAAATAATGCCAGTGAAAAAGTAAAGAAAAAGCAGGGAAAAAAGTTGAAACCAACCTACATTAATCATTATAATTTAGTGTTAAAATATAAAATTCTCAACTACTTTCAAAATCATGGATAAAACTCGATCTAAAAAAAATCTGAATTAACAAAACATATCGAAGTTATTCCTAAATCCATAATTGATTCGTTAAATATATTGTGAAATGTCAAATTTGATCTTTATATTTAATATTAAATTAAAAGTTACAATTATTACTCTTCTCAATTGATCGAATAAGGTAAAAAGGCTAGTAGACCACTTTTGAAAGTTTAGGCCTTTTAAAATTTAAAAAATGTTCCTTTATAATAATATTATTTAATGTTAGATGGGTTGTTATGTTATTGATGAATCATTTTTTTGTCCCCGAAATTATTTTTGTAATTTTTAAATAATAGTTAGAATTTTTAATTTAATATTTAACAGTAAAGTTAAATTTGACATTTCATAATCTGTTTAATATGTTGATTACGAATTTTAGAGTGACTTCATAAATTTTATTAGTTCAAGAATTTTTCAATTTTATTGAAAATTTTATATACAATTTTAAAAGTCAGAAGGAGTTTTATGATTTTAACCTATAATTTATTGAATTGTCTATCAGGTAAACATAATTCCAAACATATGATATCCTGCGTGCACACGCATTCCAACACCCATGGAATCTGGTGGTTGTTCCTTTTGCACCGTTGAAGCCGTGATTCATGACCCATGGGTCATGTGAACTTTGATGGTGTCAGTTGGTGTGGGGCCCATCAATCACGTGGTCCACCTTAAAGTTTATACCCTTTAATGGATGGTTAGGATCATGTATATTCCATTAGTAGTAAATCTAATGCAACTTTTTGCTGCTCTCTGTCTTCACGCAATTGTGCATTATTAACAATCAAATGACAAACGTTTTTTTGAAAAAGAAAAAAAAAGCCTCTTTTTGGATGGGCGAAAATAGCCCCAACAAATTATATTAATCATATTTTGATAGTAAAAAATGCAGATTGTCGATATGAATTATAATAGCCCCAACAAATTATATTAATCATATTTTGATAGTAAAAAATGCATATAATTCATATCGACAATCTGCATTTTTTACTATCAAAATATGATTAATATAATTTGTTGGGGCTATTTTCGCCCATCCATATATATACATGTGTGTATTATTATAATTTTTTTTCTAAAAAGTTCAAGCAAACTTGCATACCCATAATATTTTGCCCCATCAAAGTTTTGAATATTGCTCAACC